TTAAATGCCTAAGCCCCTGAGCAATCCCGCCGTTTCATATAGAAATAAAATCACGATAAATTACAGTACAATACGGCCCCTGTATTTGTGGGATTGGTATCCGCAGTTTCACTTATCCACGATCTGAACGTATTTAAAATATTAAAAGAAAAAAACACCCCAGAAATACCTCTCCATGGTGTAATTACTACACCTGGCCACTAGAGGGAGCTAGAGACCATGTTATGGGTCAGGTTCACCATTATCCACAGTTTTCGGCATCAGCTGGAGGGGCTTGAAACCGATGCCTCCTGGATAACGGGAGTCCTATTGTACTAAAATTAAATTAAATCTATGCCAATATTTTAAAGATACTGATAAAAACCAGTTTGTAGAACGAGGAAGTGTACTGCAGTCACCACCCCAAAGAGCGAGAAAGGAAAGATTTAGCTTGAGCACGGATCGGGGTTGGGCTAGTTCACACTCACGGTGTGTGTGCCATAAAACAGCTCATCCTGGACTGTCTCACAAGCAATTCCAAATTTGAGCTGTTTCCTCCATCTGTCCACCCCTGATCACACCCTGAAACTCATTTCCCACCAGGAAAATTTGTTTCCCAAAGAAAACCTGCTTTAAAAGGAAGGGTTTTCTTGCCCATTGACAGAGGAGAACAGGAAGGAGAGTAAACTAGTCTTACTTGGGAGGGAGTTCCGGAGCCTGGGAGCCACCACCGGAAAGGCCGTCTCTCCTGAACCTCACCAAAAAGGTCTCTGAGCCGGCGAGGGCCAAGAAGAGACCCTCCCTTGAAGGTCTCAAAATCCCAGGGAGGACGGTCTTGGTTCTAACCCTATAAAGCCCTAAAGATCTAGGGTTGAAGCTGATTCAAGGACCGCCACTCCCTTTATGAGTGTTAAAATAATCAGGGGAGGCCTTTCTCTCAGTCCCATCATCTTCACTGGTGCGTTTGATGGGGATTCAGGAGAAGGGCCTTCTCGGCGGCTGCTCCCAGAGACTCTGGAACTCCCTGCCACTGGAGGCCAGCCTGGTCCCCTCTTTGCCATCTTTCCACAAGCAGCTAAAAGGCCTTTCTTTTGAGGCCAGCTTTCCCCTCAGAGACTGGCTGACTTTAGTTGTTGTTTTTTCCCCCCAAATGGATGGTTGTGCCTTATGGCTTGGAATGCGTTTCTGGTTTGGCTGTTGCTTGCCGCCTTTCTGTGCGGTCTCGGTTTGATCCTTTTTAGTGTTCGTATATTTCTGTTTATAGCTTCTAAATATTGGGTTTTCAGTGAGTCCTTTTTTAAGGAGAAAGCTGGGGCAAAAAACACTGTATAAACAAATAAATAAAATAAATATATGGGGAAACCTGGTCCTTCCAAAGCCCTAAAACCGGCACTTCAGTTACCTTTCCGTTGCTCGGGGAGTCCCCATTTCCAAAAGTGCTGGTGACGACTAGGACGAGAGTCTCTTTCTCCAAGTCCGCTAGATTGTAATCCTCCATACAGACGACCTAGAAAAATGAGATTTTTCTCAGAATTGACCAGAGGTGGAACGAGGAAGGAGAGAAACGTGCAACTCAGCCTGCCTTATCTATCTTGAAATCTTCTCCAACATGTGGGGCCCTTCTGATTTTCTGAGAACCATTCCCATCATCCTTGACCACAAGCCAACCTGGATGAGGCCGATGTAGTCCCTTTAAATGGTGAACTCTGTTGTTCTTTTTTGGTCTTGTTGTTTAAAAATGATTTCCAATGCTACTGATTAAGGGTTCAGTACCATAGGAGCCCAGTGTCCACAGAGGATCGGTTCCAAGCCACCCACTGCAGATGCTAAAAAACACGGATCAAAGTGAACACTATTTTTATAGCGAACATTATACAAAGCATGGTCTCTGGCTCCCTCTAGTGGCCAGTTCTGGTGATGACATGGTAGAAATATATATTTCTAAGATTTTTCTTTTAATATTCTTAATATTTTCAGAGTGCGGATGAGTGAATTAGCAGACGCTCATTCCGCAGATAAAGGGGTCCTGCTATTTCAGACCGTTTTAATCATTTTTAAATATTATTTTTTGAAGCTGCATCTGGTGTGTGTTTGTTTGTTGTGTCTCTCTGTGTTATAAATTTATGCTGTAAGCTCCCTTGTTTCCTGTAAAGACAGGCGGAAAATAAATTAATTAAATAGAAATAAAATCAGACAGTGCCAAGATAATGTTAAAGATGAAGGGGCAGGGAACCAGTTGCTCCCCAGATATTCTTGGACAATAAATCTCAATCTCCCTGACTATTGGCTATGGCTGATGGGAAACGGAGTCCCACAAAAAGATCAGAGACCTCTTTCAGAGAAGTGGCCGTGTTAGTCTGTCTGGTGGCGGCGGGAACAAAACAAGAGTGTGGGGCGCCTTTAAGCCCTTTCACCAGGAGAAAGGAGGCATAAAAATAAAATAAATAACATGAAATAAACATAAGTAGCAGTAGCAGATTTATTTCATGGATTGCAGCATCCTTTCTCAGATACACCATCTCCGGTCATTTCCCCTGTTCTGGGGTTACTCAGAAAGTGATCTGTTTTTCTGAAGCAAGAAGGTCCACCATGGTAGAGAACTTTCCCCGAAAGGTAGCTCCACAGATTGGCAAAGTACCGCATTTTTTGTCCGTGTATTAGACGACCCAATCCCTGGCAAGGTGCCACCAGGGTACCTCGGTGGCACCGTCTGGTCATGCACTGGATACTACGAAACAGGCATGTCTCGTCCGTTAGTTCTAGCAAAGTTAGACGAGTCAGATGAGAACGCCAATGAGATTCCAACCACTGCTTTTCAGTCCTGTTTATCCGGGATGCTCGCACGTCTTTGGGCCTGGGTCCCCGAATCCAAGCCTTTGGTCCCGAGTCCC